AGTGATTGAGACAAAAAATATGGTTCGTGCTCACACACAAAAAAGAACTCTGCTATCCAGCAGTATCATTTGTATGAGGTACCTAGAGTAGTCAAAGTCAGAGACATACAATGATAATCCTCAGGGGCTGTGGAGGGGGCATAGAGGCATTACAAAGAATCAGTTCTACAAGATGAAAAGAGCTCTGTGGACAGTTGCTGGTAATTGTTACAGGACAATGTCATGTACGTGATGCCACAGATGTGTACATTTAAAAATGGTGGTGAGGGTAAATTGTACATGATGTTTTATTAAAATTTTTATAAAAGCAAGGAAATTGTCTCAAAAGAGAAGACCTGAATCTATACACTTCAGACAAACCTAGTTCACCTTTACACCAAAGCCACTTCTGTGATAACTAACCCACTCCACATAACAGAGTTAATTCACTCTGGGGATGGAGCCTCCCTGGCCTTAAAGACCACAGCTCACAATGCTGTTCCATGGAGCTTAAGTTTTTCACACAGCAACTTCAGGGGGTTCATCATAGACTTCATTCAAGTTGGACTGAACCCAGAGCTATTTTACTCTTAGTCATGCACCAAGTAACAATGCTGTGGTGAAGGATGGACTGGATATATGATGGTCATGCCACAGAGCATATCATCAAGTGAAGATTGACATCAGAGTTATATTAGTTTATGTAAGTGCACTCTATGACGTCCACACAACAAAAATCTCCTACACATTTCTCAGAAACAACCCTCACCATAAGCAATGCCTGATTGGAATTGCTTCTTTTTCTTTTTGGACATATTTTTAATGAGATATACAGTTGTCCCTAAAATACAGGCGTTCTGTGTTCTGTCTTATGGAGCAAAGTGCAATTTCCTTTACAAAAACAAATTGAACACAGTATTTAGTCATGACAGTGAACTCTGCAGAGTACATTTGAAGCTTCTCCCTCTCTAGGAGGGGCTGTTAAGAGTAAAGGAAGCAATGCTTTTAATAATAGGACCCAGGAGACAGAAATTTTCCCCGTTTCACATGCAGGACCACTTTTCAACCTCTTGTCCTAGAGAACCATCTTAGATGCACAGCAGGAGGAACTAGCCATGAGATTGCAAGTTCCCCATGTTTGGAAACAACACCTATGTGGTGATTTACAATTAAAAACAAAACAAAACACTATTCACAGCAAAATCACACTTGGGGTGTTCAGATGAGCTCCACCAAGATTCTAGGGAAGCTTCTGGTCTCTTTTATCACACACCCTACCCCATAACTCATATAAAAACGCTTAGATTTTCTGAAAAACAAAAGTGCTTGATTCAAAATATTTGAAAGACTTGAGATTTTTCAAAAAAAAGCTCAGTAGGAGGAGGAGCAATAAAAGAGATAGTACTTTGAATCACTCTAGCTCCATGGTTAGAAGCAGGACTCTGCCACCTGCTTACCAGAGATCCATGGCAGATTCACATCCCACAGTGACTGTCATTGAGTTATCACTGTTTGGGGGGCCCTTAGATGCATGTTTTTCCTTCTATGTCCATGTGGCCAGTGGACTCCTGGGTCTACTCTGTACAGCTGGGAAGGAAGGTCATGTGTAAGTTGCAAGACAGCTACAGCTGACCCTATAACCTTCGCCTCTGAACTAGGGCTCATCTGAAAAAAGAAATTAGAACCAAAATCAAGACTTTTGTAAGTGCACTTCCTCAAAAAACTCGCATGCCAAAATCTCTTCCATTATCCTAGGTTTCAAAAGTTCCAATTTATTTCTGAATTTTACAGTAGACTAAAAAATTGTGTACTTGAAAAACAGTCCCCAGGTCCACTCATAAAATTCTTGCAATGTAGTTTCTCAGCCCTCCCTGCCTTGGGATTCTGGAAATGGAATCCTTAACCTGGGCTTGCTAGGCAACACCCCACCATTAAGCTCTACCCATGTGTTTCTTTACTTTTTATTTTTTTTATGGGAAAGTAGCCAGATGGAACCCAGGACCTCCGACTGCCTCACACTTGCAGACCTAAAATGCTGGGCAAGCACTCTACTATTGAACCACCCCCCTCCCCTAGCCTATTTAGCTAATTTTTATTTATTTATATTTTTCCCCAGCCTTTTACTGCCTTCACCCCCATTAACTTTTAAAACACCTGGGTTCGCCATGAAGCCAGGATCCTCGTGCCACAGCCTCTGTGGTGTCTGGATCACAGGTTCATATCATGGCAACCAGCCCACTTTTTAACTCACAGGAAAGAAGAAAAGAACATAAATTATCCCTCCACCTTAACGCCGAGCAGCTCTTGGCTATTTTATTTGATCCACCCTATCATTTGCCTCATCTCCTTGGCATTTCCCTTCATTGATTTAATGGGAATCTCAAACATAGTTGCCCTGAAAATACTTCCATATATCTCTAAGAAATCCCTTTTACGTAATGTAACCAGGAGCTAGTTTTTAAATATAAAAGGCTTTGGAGTAGCCATGCTCCCCAGTTCCACTGTGCAGCAGCCATAGAAAATTCTGTCCAGTAACAAGGACTATCCCTGGCTCCCAAACCCGCCCATTAAAAAATGGGGCTTGGGATATAGCTCAGTTGGTAGAGTGCTCCTCTACAAAAGGCCTTGGGCTGAATCCTTAGGACCAAACAAAAAAAAAAAAAAAAAGGAAGATGGGAATAACTTCACATTCCAGTTCTTTAACACACCAACTATCACCTTCTTTGAAAAAAATAAACATTTAAAAAAATTCTCTCTCTTTCTCTTTAAAAAAAAAAAGGAAGATGGGCAGGGATGGACAAAGTCCTCCCCCATGGGCTGCCTGGCACTGCCAATTTCAGGAGTCTATTGGAGTGGACAGGGCTGTGTGTTGATCCCTTTGCCCATGGGAAAGGGACCACATGATTTGGGTTAGGGACCTTCACCCTTTCAGAAGGCAGGGTCTATGGTAGACACAGGGACGCAGCAGTGAGAGAGACTTCTGCTGTCCAGAGAGGGCCAGAGCACCAGGGAGCTGGAAGGGGACCCTAGGGCATGACAGCCAGCTGCCAGTGCAAAGGCCCCGGGGGGCATGGGCGTGGCCTTGGGGAAGGCCCCATCATTGCCTGCCTTCCGGC